ATGAATAAGACAGTAGCATTATCCTATAAAGGAGCTCTTCAACCCTTACTTCTTAATAACAGCCAGATCAGTATCGTTGTTTCTTTAAAATTTCATGGTATTTTTACAGACAGCAACCTTAAATGGTTCCTTTATATCGATTTGTTAAGTAAGAAACTAATCTCAGCCAGCTATGCAATACGATCTGTTTCGAAGCTGAATTTAGCATCTTCCAAAATAACATATTTTTCTTTGTTCGAGTCTCATCTTCGATATGGTCTTCCTTTTTGCGGTTTTAGTACAGCTACCCAATATAATGTTATTTTTAAATTACAAAAAAGAGCAACACGGTATCTTTTTGGCCTCAGTAAAATAATACATTTTAGAAGCTACATAAAAAATCACGGGATTTTAACTTTTCCCTCTTTGTATATTCTAGAAACTGTTTTCTTAATTGGTAAATACCTACATGTTTTTTCAGCAAGACCCAATCATGAATTGTCCACCAGAAATTCAACCTTTGATATGTATTTATCGATTTCGTTCACTGAGTTAGTAAATAAATCTATATTATATTCGGCAAACAAATTATACAATTAATTCCCTTTGCAACTTAAATGTACAACTTCTTTCCTTAAGTTCTGTAAATTAACAAAAGCCTATCTATCTGAAAGACCATATTATTCAGTGGAAGAGTTTTTTAACGAGAAATTAAGAAATTACAGTACGTTTAGGTACAAGCAACTAAAGTATTATATATTTGGGTATCAAATGCAGCAACTAAAACTTATTCGTAAACTCATAAGGTTTTATTATGCAATTTGCAATTTAGTTAGATTTTGCAATGAATTGTAAATTTTATTATCTTTTATTATATGACATTAACCATTTTTGTAATTTTAGTAAATTTTAATTGTTATTGTTATTTTTTTTACTTTTTGTAAGTTTTGTTCATAAAATTGTACAATTTTCAGTGACAATAAAGCATATTTCTATTTTAGAAACCTACTCCATCCATAAGGTTTAATGTGTTTATATATTGTTGTATATGTGGTTTGTTGTTCATGTTTTGTTAAACAATAGTTTATGTTTTCTTACGTTTATTAATATTTTCTTAAATACATATTCCTGAACTTTTATCTTTCTTCTGCCTACTGCTATATCTAACATGACTTCTAATGTTGCCAAATAACAATTAATCTGGAGTTATAAACCATAATTCACTACATTTTTTCAACGTATCACTCACTGGATAAGAGAAGAACTACTCAATACCCTGAACAGGTTAATGTATGGGGAAGAATTTTTTAAACTTTTTATTGCTTGTGTATTATTTTAGTTTAAATAAAATATTATATAAAGTACTTTGCGATTTTATTTACCCCATCTTTATTCCTTTGTATAAATCAATTTTTATAAATATATTTATTTCTATACACTGAAAATTAAAATTATTCATCGTTCGTTGTTTCTCACTTATTCGAAATATTTTATATGTTTACGATACTAAAAATAAAAGCAATCAAACCAATAGTCATTATTTATTCAAATGAAAAAACTGTTTCAAATACCTTTCAATTATTGGAAGGTACGCCGATGACTTAAAAGGAAATGTCACAGTCTATCACCTCGCCTCTTTCCCCGCGCCTATAAACTTTTCGACTTCAAATTTATGCGAACAGAGTGCATGGCATGCCCAGTCCATCTTTATTTATACGTCCATGGTTGGTTTTTTTCCGTTTTAATCTATTGTGTTGTTGGCGTAAATAGGATTATAAACCATACTTACGGAATTAAATTAAATTTTTAAAATTTCCGAGTTCTATTTGAAAAAATATAATTTTTTTTCTCACTATGGACCACCCTCCCTTATTTCAGATTTTGTCTGTATTTTAATTTGCAGCCGAGATGTGTGTCATCTTCTTATTTCTCATATATTATGTATCTTCTCCTCTACTGTAAATATTAATCTACTGAGGTACACTAGCAGGTAGTTAGTGTTCAAGAATTATTAGATTATTCAGAAAACATTCATTCATTTTTTTTCTTTTTTGAATTATATTAAAACAACATATTATTTATGCAGCTTGGATTTACACAATTTAAGATACACCCAAAAGTCCGGAAGTATTCTCTTTATTGATTCTAATCACTTACCCTCTCATCCCAAATTTAATTCTAACAAATCGTTGGTGGCTGGGTGTTACGCCATTGTCGGGGTCTCTACCTGCCGTAAAACAATTCAGCGGTTAACAAACTGCTGGATTTAACACGGAGGGCGGGGCTCGATATTTTCAAAGGTGAGAGAGAATTTACTCGATCGAACCGCCTCTTCTCGGAAGAGTCGAGGGCGGGGAGAGGTGGTGGGCGCTGCGGCGCAGCTTTGCGCTTTCCGACGTTGGGCGTCGACGTCTGCTCGAAGACGTCGAACGTGTATGTGGAATTGAGAAGTTCAGCAAATACAGTGCTCCTTCGTCCAAAACGATTACTAACACGGTTGGTAGCACTGAAATTGAATACATATACGAGTTTGATGCACATCAATTGAAGCAGCAATATAAATAGAGCAATCAGGGAGTGAATACATGTAACAAATATGTACAAATGTATTCAGTAGGGATATAAAATATCAGATAATATATTCAGATCGTTTCGGACTTGCGTGAACATAAAATTAGGAAGTATCAGTCTTGTGTTTCTTATATTTTTTAAGCAAAGCGTCATAAACAGACAAATGTACATAATAAAAAGATGGAAACTAGGCACATAAATATTCACTGGGTTAACTAAAATAGGCATATATTAAAAAAAAATGATAAAACTCACATATATAAAATTAGCTATTTTTGAGACCTTGATATTTTAGATCAATAAAAACTTTTTTCTTTTGACACACATAGTCTGACACCAGGGATGCACAGACTTATTAAGACTAGGGGCCACTCGCGCAAATCATGAACTGATGGCGGGCCGGCCGCCAGAAGTATAGGTATGATTAAAGCCAATAAAGAATTGATAATAATTTATTAATTTATTGAAATTGAAAAATAATTTATTAATTTGAAGCGTGGCACTGCATAGTGCTTACAATCTTTTTTATATTTGGCTCAAATTTACTTGTAGCAACACGTAAAACTGCTTCCAAACTTTCATTTGCAAGGAGGTTTCGATTTTTTGTTTTATTATGATTTAGTATTGAAAAAGTTTGTTCACATATATAGGTAGAACCAAAGAAGCTGGCACATTTCAGAGCGTTTATGCGCAACTCTTCGTACATATTTTTATCAATGCAGCGGTAAAAGTTCAGCAAGTCTCCTTCGTTGAATTTGTTGCGTAAATCTTGGTCGTTTTGAATGTCGATAACTTCTAACTGCATTGACTCTGGCGCATTTTCAACTGAAATCGTGAAAGGATTGCTGTATATGTCCAACAGAGGTTTCACTTTTTTAAACTCCGAAAATCTTTCTTGAAAAGATTGAATCAAAATATCGAGCTTTTCTATATAACTGAAATTAATCGCAGTTTTGTTGAATTTTTCAGCCATTTTCTTATAATTCGGAAAATGATTGTAATTTCCAGAATTCAACTGTGATCTGAAAAGTGCCAGATTGCATTGAAAGGATGATACATGAGCGTAGAGCTGGGATATCAGTTGATTTTTGCCTTGAAGCCGTGTGTTCAAGACATTTAAATGATTTGTAATGTCAACTAAAAAAGCCAAATCACACAACCAATCAGGATTTTTAAGTTCCGGGACATCCCTTTGCTTTTACGCCAGAAATATTCCAATTTCTTCCATTAAGTTTAGAAATCGTTCCAGTGTCAATCCACGACTTAGCCACCTTACTTCTGTATAATACAGTAAATCTTCGTATTCGCTTTCGATGTCATCTTCTTCTTCAAGTGCCGTCCCCATCAATGGAGGTTAGCGGTTATGGTGGCAAACGTTTGTCTATCTTCAGCTGCTCTTAAGAGTTCCTCAAATCCAAGTCCTGTCCAGTTTCTGATATTACGTAACCAGGACAATTTTTTTCTTCCAATTCCTCGCTTTCCTTCTATTTTGCCTTTTATTATCAACTAAGGGATGTAGCATTTCTCGATGCGCAACAAATGCCCTAAATAACTGGTTTTTCTTCTTTTGACTGTTCTCAATAGTTCTTTTTCTAAATTGAGTCTAGCTAGTACTTCTTCATTTGTTTTTCGTGCTGTGCAAGGAATTTTTAAAATTCTACGGTACACCCACATTTCAAATGCCTCGATTCTATTCAGGCTCTTTATTTTTAAAATCCACGTTTCGACTCCGTAGAGAAGAACAGACCAGATAAAACATTTTACAAGTTTTAATCTCAATTTAATATTTATATGTGTATCACAGAATAGAACGCGCATCTTAAAGAAACTATCCCTAGATTGAGCAATTCTCGCTTTAATTTCTTGTTCTGGGTCCAGCTTGCAATTAATCCAACAGCCAAGGTATTTGTATTGGTTTACCTGTTCTAAAATATTCCCATTTATTTTTATAGGTAAGGGGATATTCTGTTTTCTCTGGATCACCATTACTTTTGTTTTTTTTTTCGTTGATCAAGGAATTGTTTGAATTGTCTGTGATTGAGTCCTCGTGATTTTATGAAATTTACAATCGAAACTACTACTTTCATGACATTTTGAAATTCAATTTTTTTAGAACAGAGGGCTTCTTGGTGTATAATGCAGTGAAACTGCATAAGATCTTCACGTTTATGTTTTTTTCTTGCAGATGCTTTGTCAGCAAAGTAACTAGCTCGGAATTGACACCAATCATCGAAGGAGCACCGTCAGTCGCAACTCCCGATAATTTTGATAAGTCCAAATCAGTTTTTGAACACTCATTCAAAAGAACATTGAGTATATCAACTCCTTTGGTTTGACCTTTCAATGAACACATTCCTAATAACTCTTCAAGACTTCAAAATCTTGAGTAACACCTCGTATGAATATGAGAAGTTGAGCTGTGGAACTATTATCAGTGGATTCGTCGAGTGCTAATGAAAAAATTCAATGATCTTAGTTTTTTCAATTAATTGTTCCGCAATATTACCTGACAAAGATGTTATTCGTCTTTGGATAGTCATACGATTCAGTTGAATTTTCTCAAACTTTTTTGATGCTTCTGGACAAATTTTCTTAGCGGCAATTTCTATGCATTTTTTTACAAAATCGCCATCATTAAAGGGGCGACTTCGCTTTGCTATCATTCGAGAAATTTTATAACTAACTTCTGTAGCTATTTCTGAATCTTGAATGGGTTTTGTAAACGTAGCTTGCTGACCAATAAGCTCCCGTTTTAAAGACAACATTTTTTGCTTTCTTAATTCGCCTGTAAACTTGGTAAAAGAAGGATGCTGCGTTTCATAGTGCCTTTTTACATTATATTCCTTTGCAATCGCAACAGAATTCTTGCAAATAAAACAAACGACTTTGTTTTGCGACCATACAAAAAAGTATTTCTCAGTCCAAATTTCTTGAAACTGCCGATTTTCATCTTAAACCTTACGTTTTTTACTAGGTCCTGGCTTCTCCATGTTGCGTTCTAATCCTGGCTAGGATTAACACAGCACCTGAAAACAGTTACAGGACCTACTTAAATTACCCATCCTTTTTTAAATTATCAAAAATTATTGATTGAATATTATTCCTAAGAAATTTTAAGATTTTTATACAGATTTTATATCTGAAATAATGACGTAATTATTATAATTAGAGAAATTCTGATAAAAATAGTAATTTCTTTGTTTTATTTTAATTGACGGGTTAACACTGCAATAGTAAATCGGCGTGTAACTGTATTCTGTGCATACGACTGTGGAAGCTTCGTATTCCTACGCGAGCAATCGGGAATTCGGGACTACTGCTATCTCGCTTGCTCGCACCGCGCTAGAACATTCTTGATTTCTCTACTATTTTAAACTTTATATAAAGGCAGCAAGCGATGTTACTTGATTTAGCATTTTTGGGCACTAGATTCAAATAGCGAGCGCGAGATTCAAATTACTTTTCGAACATATTTTTTTTTGGTTTTAATCTGGAATATAATTCAATAGTTTTCGAATGTACAAGAGTATTATTTTTGCTGTCGGCGGGCCGCATGCGGCCCGCGGGCCGCGGTCTGTGCATCCATGGTCTGACACAGTGGTGGACTAAGGCTAACTCAGGCCCTAGGCAATATTGTACTAATTCCGGACCTATTTTTTAGTCATGACTAGTGTGACCAACTCCAATTCAATCGAATTCGGGACAAGGCTAAAAAATATCTGAAATCCGGGACTTTTCAATGAAAATCGGGCCATTTTTTAATTTTTTAAGACTGTAATAACATCATTTTATTGATTATTTAACATTTTTATGTTGACCATGATATTTTTGATGATATTAAGCCATACTTGGTTATAATAATTATATTTTTGTTAGTTTTTGACGTTTTGACTTCCAATCCGGAAATCATTCTCAAAAAAGGAAAGATTAGAAAATCAACTGATGTAACCTCAGGTTAACATAAGAATGTTATTATCATTACAATCAATTGTGACACAATCCCATAAAAAATATAATTGTTAAACATGCCACAAGAAAATAGCTTCAAAACATTTAAAATCAATCTATTCATATTTTAAATTGACCTCAACGAACAAAATATATTAACTCTTTGCACTGCTTATTTTTAAAATCATATTTGTCTTGCGTTGAAACTTGCTTTAACAATGACCTCGAATCTTTTAAAAACTTATAAAAATCAACACATTCATATTTTAAATTAAATTTTACAAACAAAATATTTTTTAAGGCTTCAATACCAAGTTGCGATTTTTCGGCTGCCCATATTTTTGTAAACGTGATTCTTTTTTCGGACGTGTACGAACTCATCACATTATAGCCATCCATAAAATTATTACACCCTCCGAGATATAGTAAACTGATCACCGGCATCCTTTGGAGATAGGTAAACTCATCACCGCAAATAGGTAATATGATCACCAGTATTTTTGCGCCAATTCGCTGGTTTCTAATGCGGAAGATGCCAGTTACCTATTACACTTCTCGTTTATGTGGTAATTTAATAAATTCAGAAATTGTTTTAAGCAAATTACTTTAAAATAGATATTAATATCGATTTTTTCACGGTGAATTTGCCAATCTAAGCGGTTTTGAAATCTGAAAATTCAGTTGCATAGGTTTTCGTTAGTGAACTTTATAATAAAAATATTTATGAATATGTACTGTTTCCGTATATATCGGAAATAGTCCTCAATTTATTAAGTAAGTAATTAGACTTGTATTGTTGATTATTAACTAAGTACAGTCTCCTGGCTTTTATAAACAGTTGAAGCCTAAGAAACATTACAAATTTGCAATTTTATGTATACCATTGTTTAGTACTGTAGAAGCGTAGATACAAAAGTGAGGATATTGGGATGAGAATGGTAAAAATGGTTGGAAAAATGGGAATGAAAGGATTCGCATGGATTTGTGGTGAAATGTATATGGCTAGACTGGAAATCCCAAACAGTTAGAGGGAAAAGACACTCATTACTTACGTAGTTCTCTACCATATTATCGGCCATTTTCATAAATTAAGGCAAGTTAGGGATATCCGCATGAAATCTTTGACAAAATAATTGCCGACTCGTTTTGGGTTCAAAACTGGCTGAGTTACCCCATCTATCCACCTCAGCTTTGGTCTACCCCATCTTCTCATTCCCACGGGTTGCGCTGTTAGAATCTTTTTTATCATGTTCGATTCAGGGGCCCGGCTACATGTCCTTCCCACTGCAGGCGGTTTCGCTTAATTATAGTGGTAATATCTTTACCACCAAACGTATGCTTGTAGATATTCTGCAGTTCAAAGTTACATCTACGCCTCCATATTCCGTTCTCACAGACCGCTCCGAATATCTTGTGTAGCACCTTTCTTTCAAAAATCGATAGAGCTGATTCATGTGTTTTAGTTAGCGTCCATTCCTCTGATCCATATGTGAGAACGGGGACTATCAGTGTTCTATACAGCCTTATACGAGTTTTTTAAGATAGACGTTTGTTAGCTAAGTACTTTGATAGACCATGATAACACCTGTTTTCAATTATTATTCGCCTTTTTAGTTCCTCAGATGTGTTATACTTGGGGTTAACCGATGTCCCGAGATATATAAACTCTTTGATTGTTTCGAAGTTTTGGTCATTGATGATTAAATTTGCGTAAACATTTCCAGCTCTTGTGTTTGTGTTAGTCGCCATGAATTTGGTTTTATTTTGATTTATATGTAACCCCATTCGTTCTGCTACTGCTACTAGCTCGGTTAGGATTTCCGCAGTTCTCGCCCTGGTTCTTGTTATAATATCCACGTCGTCTGCATATGCTAGAATTTGGACTGATCTATTAAATATTGTTCCCCTGCGATCTAAATTAGCGTCTCGTACAACTTTTTCTAAATCGACATTAAAAAACTGACACGCCAGCGCATCTCCCTGCCCTAACCCCCTATGTATTTCAAATGGATTAACGAGTCGTTTTGAATTTTTACTGCTGATAGCATCTTTGCCATTGTCACTTTTATCAAACACATGAGTTCTTCCAAATATCTAACTCATTCATAGGGTTGTAAAAACTTGGTCTTACGACATTGTCATATACCGCTTTAAAATCAACAAAAATATGATACATATCTATGTTAAACTCTTGCGCTTTTTCGAGGATCTATCGTAGTATAAAGATCTGGTTAATGGCTAAACATCTACGCCTGAATCTTGCCTGATATTCTCCTAGAAACATTTCGGTATAAGGTTTTAATCTCTCGTGCTCAATATCTTGTATGCTGTATTTAGGAGAGTTATTCCGCGGTAATTATTGCATTACAGTTAGTTTCCCTTTTTGTGTAACGTGCAAATTAAGCATAAGCTACATTCTTCAGGCATTTGCTCCTCAGACCAAATTTTACAAACAATTTCTCGCATCACCTTGGTGAGCTGCTCTCCATCGTGCTTAAATAACTCTGCTGGAATGCCATCGCTGCTTGGGGATTTGTGGTTCCTTAGTTTTTCCATATATATTTTCACTTCATCTACCGAGGGGGGTTCCACGAGTTCCTCATTTCGACATTACAGCTCTATATTGTTAGTAGGTTCCCCTTCCAGCAACTCTCGAAAGTGCTCAAAGTACCCATCGTAAAAGGATATCCTCTTTGTTGGTAAGTAAGTTACCTTATGATACGCATCACTACTCCATTTAAACCCCAATTTGAATTACTCCTCCTGGTTAAAAATCAAACCATAGGAGATTTGAAATATGTATTTCCCCTGCAAGTTGGGGCACGTCAGGTATAACTTTATAACTTTACATCTCTACAATATAAAGACAGGCCAAAAGCGGTATTTTTAATTTTTGAAGCTACTAGTAAATATTAAGGGAAATACCAGCAATAGACCGTATTATTCTTTTTTTTTTTGCAATAAATCGTTCATTAATCTCTAGATTAAAGACTGGTTCCCCAAAATAAAGTCCCGTATTTCAGATGGGATTAGGCATAATAACCATTAATTTGGTTTTCCGTGAAAAATTGTTATAAATTTCGGAACAAAAAAGCTACTGAGTTCAATTTTGCGGCAAGTGCATCATAATGTTTACTCCAATTAAGACATTCATCTAGGTATATAAAGTCATAGAACTTTACTGATAAAAACTTTTTAATGTGATTATTATTTATATTTAAATTAATTGAGTTAACACAGGGATGCCTATAATGAAACTGCATGGAAAGAGTTTTTTAGGTATTCAACAATAGGTAATTTTTACTGAACCAGATGTAAAGGTCCGACACTAAAGATTACATTTGCAATTCAAACAGGTATTAGATCCGTGAATTATATCATTTGCATCGTCTGCAAATATCATAAAATATTTATCCTACCAGATTAATCGAGACAACATCGTTTGCGTAAATAAGAAATATAAAGGGTCCTAAAATTGAGCTTTGCGGTACACTTATTTTAATATCGAGATACGCAGATTTATGACTTACATTTGATTTATTGTATTTCTCGGTAAAGCTGACATATTGTCGACGTACAGTTAAATAAGATGTTATCCAATTCAATGCACGTCCTTGAATACCTTAGTGAAATCATAAAATATTCTAACAGGAATTTATCTTGTATCTATTATGTGAGTGTCATAAACGGAATGAATTGATATATGGGTAGTACGAATTTTTTAGACTTTAAACTATCATGGTGACTAACAATTACATTATTTATCTGTAAAAATAAATTCAATCTTAGTAAATAGCTGTATTGAAAGATTTTTAAA